TGAATCTGACCATACCATGGTGCTGAATTTTAAATCCCAAGCGGGAAACATTTTGAGAGATCAAAGACTTCGTCAGCAACAATGCAGAATTGAGTGGAAGAATGAAACGGGCAGAGACAATGCTGGTACAACGAGCTACCCTCAAGGAACAACAAGAGGCTTCCGGCAACCACTATTGCCAAGGCCACCATTTGGCACAGTGAATGAAGAATCAGCTGAAGATGACAGATCAGTCAAGCCCCTACCACCACCTAGATTAGCCCGGCAGGCATCAAAAGCTGAAAGGCCAAGAGATAAACCTGAGAATAACCATAGCAATAATTACTAAACAGATATGAATACTCAAGCAGTACATGTACTAGACTAGCTTGAAGTAAATGGCAGTAGAGCAGTTGGATTCAAAATCTGGCCCTAGACTTGTGTGTGTGTGGGTGGTGGTGGTGGTGGTTAGGAAAGAAAGAAAATCTAGACAGAAATCGAGTAGGAAGAAATTCTTAGCTGCTCTGGGACCAAATAATGTAAATTATACAATGAGGACAACTTTGATCAATTAATATATATCATATGCCTGACATGTGACTTATCTTCAAAGGAAAGGCTACCAGATCTGGACTGTAAAAATCCAGACTATCACTAGAGGTATCACTAAACAAAGTCAGATTTTAATTAGGAATTGCACTAAAAAATTCCCCGTCCTGTTAAAATATATCCAATGTGCCAGCACACTAAAGTTAGGGGCTACTTTAAAGAAGATTCTGTAAAAAGGTTATCTTGATTTGGAGATATAATTCCTGTACATGTACTCTGTAGGTCTAAAGGAACTCACTTTTAGGTAAACAGGAATAAATTTTGCACATTATTAAAACTGCATACTTGAACCACAAAGCCAACTATAGCAATTGTCAACTATTTTCTTGACAATCTTTTATGCCTTACATTCACTCCTCTGCTTTGCCACTATGAATCACAAATCTGTTTATGAATATTGATAGGAGCTTGTATGAAGTTTCATTCCCTATTTGTATGTCCATATGCAACATGACCTGTACCAAATGGATCAGGGGACTTGGATCACAATAGCATAAAATGCTCATTATGCTCCTCTCCCCCTATCCCCACATGTATTTAGAAGGTGCAATCCTCTGTAAACCATTGTTTACTGTTTCTGTCTACATTATTTGTTAATAATAATGCATAGATTATTCTGCTCATCAATTCACATAATATTCAGGCTGCCTTCAAAGTCCAAATTCTAATATCCTGTAGAAATGTAAATAGCACAACTACTTGTTTCAATCATCATGCTTTCAACTAAGTTAATGATCTTAAGTTTATTTATTTATTTAAACACATTGAAGTTATTTTAAAATTATGTGTCCCTAGATAGATTTTTTTTTAAAAGCAGCAATATAATTAAAAGAATTTTTGCTTTAACACAAACAGGATGTCTTTAAAAGTCTTGCTGTAATACTCTCTTCATATGCACTATTACTAATGATCTCTTTTCTTTAAAATAGTCATTTGAAGAAAAAATAAATAAAATGCACTTATTGTACATATCCACATACATACATTTAATTACAAATTAGATTAGCTTTATTGATTAGCCTGTAGGCCATATCAAAACAAATCAGAAGTGTTTTCCAAACAGTTATTGGTCCTAATATGCTCTTCTTCATAGAACACTAGTAATATAGACTTAATCAGTATTTGCTTTACAAATGAAATTGTCCCATGAATAGTAAAAAAATGCAATGGGACTCCAGAATATGTAATGGTGAGAAATTATACTTTTGATGTAGGCTGCCTAAGCATAATAACAATATTGTGGTGCATTGTTGTTTGATGCTGTTGCTTTGAGCTGAAATTCAGTTCAACATTAAATGGCTGAAAAAAGGTATTTAGTGCCATCTATTGGTAAATACACAAATAACTACCTTTGGTCTTTTAGAATAGAAAACTCTGTTCTTGTCAACATAAAAGACATTGTTTTAAATATACCAGCAATCAGCTGATGTTATTACTTTTAATGCAGGCCATGTATTACCTTTTCTGGAGAAGAATCTGATAACATTTTGACAACATAAAAGTTACTTGGATTTTTGGAGGGACATTGATAAGATGCAATGGGAATAAATGTTCTTTATCAATATGTTAGGAAACAGGATAAAGTAACATTTGTAGAATTAGCCAAATTGACAATGTGAGAAAATGCAAACCTAATTTATTGGTACAATGTTAACACTTTCATCTAGTATATGGTGGCATGTTACGCAGGAAGGCAGCATACTTCAACCCTCTTGAAATTATTAAAACGATTCTAGAAGTGGTTTGGAGTTTTGGTGTATTGTACATCAAGACATATACTTCTTTCCTGCTCCTGTAATTTTGATTCATATTTGCATTACAGTCTATCATCTACTATTGCCACATGAAGGAATATTTGCAAATTATAACCATTTTGACTCAGCCATATAGCTTAGTAAGAGTGGTTAAAAATTCAAAAACTCACAAAAGAACTTAGGAATTGAAGGTCTGATATTATTTTGCCCACATTTATAATGTCCATGTTTTATGGTCATTTGGAGAGCTGAAATCTGCCACATTACTACAATCCTGACTGATGGAATTTAAGGAAAATTTGACATGCTAGAAAATGACTGATTAACAGGACTGGAGGATGGGGTAGGAATTAACAGGAATTAAGGTTTGATATAATTTTCACGGTTAAACCAAACGAAACTGGATGACCAATTCTGTACAGGTTAGCTATCAATACTTATTTTTTAAAGGATATCTTGTTTCTTAAGAAATGTACCTGAAATGGTACCTCTCCCACTCCAGTTCAGATAGGAATGACTATCTACAAAGCATTGTGAAAGTTCACAAAAGTAAATTCCATCAATAGCACTGACATCAGATGTCCTCATACTTGAAATGAGTCTATTGAATATGAAACATTAGCAGAAAAACCCTTTTCCAAGTATATATATATTTGCGAGTATGGACCCCGTTAATGGAAAACTTGCAGAATGAAATTCCTTTTCTACATTCAGATGAGGCTGAAGCTCTTGAACACCTTTTTCTGTATTCTTTGTAGAAAAGCTGCAATAATAATTATTATGGTGAAGCCTTAAAAGGTAAATTTGCTAGTGCTCATGTATGCCTTTCCTATTTCTCTCCATCAAGATAAAAATGTGTAGATGCTGTAAGATACAGAGTTTTGTGGTAGCATGTCTCACAGGTGACAATGAAATTAGTTTTTTGTAGAGGAAAAATATTTGTAAGAACTCACAGAACAGAAAATGTCATTATCACTGAACATAATAATGACTGACCACTGAAAGAAGTATTTTTTAATTGTATTTCATTTATTTTTTTGTATCATGCCTTTATTATTTTTATAAACAACTCAAGGCAGTGAACATATTGAACACATTTTCTTCCTCCTATTTTTCCCACAATAATAATCTGTGAGGTGGGTTGGGATGAGAGAATTGATTGAGCTAGCTGACTTTCAAGGCTAGGGGAGAACTAGAACTCATGGTCTCCTGCTATCTAGCCTGGTGCTTTAACCACTGGGCCAACTATTTCCAAACTTTCCAAAAACAAAAACTTTGTTTTTAACTACAGTGTCCACATGCATGCAGTACATACATATACACCTCAATATTCCAATGAATACACCAACACATTCACTATGCCTCTCATATCTCATATGAGCTGTGGTGGCGCAGTGGGTAGAATGCAGTAAGGCAGGCTACTTCTGCTGCCTGCCAGCAGCCTGCAGTTTGGCAGTTCAATTCTCATGCCAAAGGTGGGACTAATACTTAAGTCTCCTGGTGTCTTAACAACTACACCAAACTGACTGTATTTTAAAAGTTTTAAAAATAGAATTTTAAACTTCTATTTTAAAATAGAAATACTTTAAATTTTTAGAAATTAAATTGTTTAAAATGAAGTTTACTTTTACTAGTCTTTTATTGCCTAGGGCAGTAATAGCAAACGTTTTCGGTACCGAGTACCCAAACTGGAATGTGCGCATGTGCGCACTGGTGCAACGGAAACCTGAAGACCAGCTGGCTGGCACGCACATGCCTGTTTTTTGGCAGTTTTTCAGGCCTTTTTCCAGTGCTCTGGCACTTGCAAAGACCAGCTGGCTGGTGCACATGTGCACGTCGGAAACCAGAACCGCTGGCGATGGTGTGCATGTCCACAGATACAGCTCTGTGTGCCACCTCTGGCACGCATGCCATAGGTTCACCATCTTGGGCCTAGTGCAACAACCACCATTCTTCCAGTTGTTATTTATATATGCATCTTCATCAAAACATTAAGCCAACTCTATAACCACTCCATGAGCAAAATAAGTCTATAATCTAACATTCTCCTATTACACTTACACCTCAGCCTTACCCTTCTTTAACCTCCTACAATATTCACAACACTATAAAGATGCGGGTTGTCATTTTTAAAATTCTATATGGCATGGGGCCACGTTACCTAATGGCTCTGCTGTCAATGAGATTTGGAAGCATGGGCATGCTCCCAGCCCCATTGATGAAGCAGTATTTCCTAATGGGCTCCAGGAAGTTGCTAATAATAAGGACAGTACTGGCTAGTTTTGGCCATTATGTCACAAACAGAACTTTTTGTTTGAGCAGTCATGCTATTCTATGCAAACACGTACTTGTTAAATCTAGAGACAATATTGTAAACCAACATACTGTTGCCCACATCCCAAACCCCCAAAAGATTCAAATAATATATTGAGATATAGTAAGAACAGGACAGTAGGATTTCCTACTAGAATAAAGTATCTTCAGAATGTTTAGCTAAGACAGTAAAACTTTTGCTGCTTTATTTGAAGATCAATATAGTTTTCTGTTAATGAAAGTAATATATTCCTCTTGTAATAGGAATGCCACATATACTAAACAACATATACACATTTATATATTGCACGGGACAGCAACTGAATAAATGACATACAGATAATCAAGGTTTCCTTTTTCCTTTTATTTCCCATTACCAATGTTGTAGTGCAATTTTAAAACCAAACATCTGCAGAAAGCAATTCGAAACCATCTCAAATAGTACCACAGCACAAAATCCCTGAGTATAACTTCTTAGAGTCTTTCAAGTATTCCAAAAGTATGTTAAATATTTTCCAAATATTTTTGCTACATATTAAGTAACCAACTCAAGATTTCTGGGTTGAATTTCGCAAGAAAGTTGGTTGAGTATTATTTGGGTTGTGAGCAAATTTTAACTTTGTCAACGGATGTAGAGTTTGCTGGGAATTAATCTTACCTAACTTGTAAGATTTACTTCTAATCTGTATAAGAAAATAATCTTGCTGTTAGTCCTATAATATAGAAAGACAAGCTCTAGCTTACATTAAGAGCAAATATCCAAGTCTTTCTCTTGCAGGGCTATATTTAGAAAGGGTAAGCACTATTTTGTATCCTCTTAGCACTTCTTTACTTAAAATTTAGGCACATGTCCCTCTTCTGTTGTTCTAAAATAGTGTTTCTCAACCTGCTGAGTAATTCTTGGAATAGAAACCTACACACTTTAAAATGTGAAAAACACAGGGATGAACTTTTGTTCAATGCAAAAGTTGAAAAACACTTCAAAGAGTAAGGCTGATGATAGAAAATCAGAATTTAATGGTAAGCATAATGTATATTTCCCTTTTTTCTTATTTTCTTTTAATCTGCTAAATAGATCTAAACATACTGTTAATACATGTTTGAATGTGAAAGAAATTCTTTAGTAAGTGTAACATTTCCTGATGAAAAATCATACTCTTCTCCTCCAAATACTAAAACAGGGTTGTATTATTTTGACCTACTACACTGAATGCAAGCTGTGCCTTTAGATTAGTTGTTATATTGAAGGCTATAACATGAAGTTGGTAAGTTGTGTTCGGTAGTGAACACTTTTGCAAGGCTTTGTTAATGTCAAATTTGTATTAAATAAATAGCAGCTTGTATTCAAACTGCGAGGGACTTGATTAAACAAACGTTTCATTTGAAGCAGCTGATCTTTGATATGAAGAAAAGGAGACTGTATGCGAACAGAACTGTGACGACTTAAATATGTACTCGATTCACTTGGTGAAATTTTGATTACTGAATGAGCAAAAATAGTTTTCAGTTTCAATACTCATTTTAGAAGAATTTGAGCAGAATCTGTTTCTGATTGAGAAATGAATGCTATTTTTTAATGCAAGGTCATCCTTTGGGGATTCAACTCAACAACCAACTTTCCATTAAGCAAATTACACCTCTTCAAAGCCTTTATTCAGTGAGAGTGAATATCTGCTGGAATGGCAATTCTTGTTCCATTTTCTTCACTGATGTTTAAAGCGACATTTAATAAAAGGTTTGAAATATGGTGTTGCATGCCATCAAAACCTGGTCCAAATTCTACGTAAACACAAGGAAGCTGAAAACATGGGTTCCCCTTTTTGTTTAAACTATTTCAATTTGAGTTAAAATGTTATTGCTCTGTTTTATAATTGTCTATTTTTCCTACATTGAGGACTGTTCGAGAATCTTTTGACTTTTTTTTTTTCTTAGAAAAGCACTGTAAATAAGTCATTACATACTTTTAAATTTCATGGTCCTTCTGACAGAATATCGTGACCTATTAAAGACCATGATGAGAACTGCTAAAATCCCCAACAGGCTTCCAAGAATTGGTGGGCCACGTGGACTGTATTCCTGCACAACACCCGAGATAATAGGGGAAATTATGCGACCCACAGCTGAAACAGACTGACCAACACCAATGAGCATACCACTGGCCTGATCCCCACCCAGCATTAGTTCAAGTTCTGTAATACATGTACGTCCCACAGTGGTTGAAAATGCTAAAAATGTACAAGACAAAATGAGTGTCCAAAGACTTTCTGATACAGAATACAGAAACATAAACAGGCAGGTAAGAAGAGTAGAGTGTAATAACATAGCAAAAGTATTGTGCCTATAATATTTAGTGATAGGTCCAAGGAGAAAGCCAGCAGCTACTCCAAGTGCGCTACTATAGCTAATTATGTAGCCAGTAAGTTTGGGCTTCATTCCAAACCTTTCTTCAAGGCCCAAGACAAAATTGCTATGATAGAGCATAACCGCAACAGACATCAGGAGCCGTACCAAAAAAACATCCCAGAGATTAGAATTTGCAACACTGCCAAGCCTCTTCAGCACAGAGGTAACCTGAATGCAAGAGGAGTTCTTGGGCTGAGCAGATGAGATGGTTTTGTGAACTGAAGTTGCAGTCTGAAGGCCGTGCTTTACTTCTTCTGGAATGAAACTTCTGGCTTTGTTCAGAATGGCCCATTCACGACTGTGCATCTTTTTTGCATACCGTAGCAACATCCAAAAAACAACTGCAAAGGAATTTGACCATGAAACTTTATTACATGTTCTCTTGACATAACCTTATGATCAATTGCATAGTCATTTTATATGGTTGCACATTAGGTACGCCAATTGTGAAAAAATGATTAATGCAATGGCATAGCTTTGAACTAAGCAGCTCTTTTCTCAAGATAGCCAAATAGTTTTCATACATCTGCAGTATAACTTCATCATATTTATATATCTGATTAATATCCTGCCTCCCCCCTATTTTTTTGCAATTGGATAAGGAGGGGCATGTAATTGATAAGTTATTTGCAATTGCAATTGGAATAGTTAACATTTATGAAACAATATAAAAGATAAAATCAAATCAGGGAAGAAATATGCTCCCAGAAATATAATTCTTGCCCAACTGGTGATTCAAGTATAAAATATCGGCATAAACCAAATCACATACCAGCATTCAAGACAAAGATGGAAGCACAGATGAATGCAGTGAGGTAAAAGCCACCTTCCAGCTCTGTAAGATAGCCTCCAACAACCGGTCCCAAAATGAAACCAAAGTTCGAAATAGCATTGAAATATCCAATTACTAAGAGGCGCTCCTTCTTAGGAACCATGTCAGAAATGAGTACTTTGGAAACGGAATGTGTATGCTTGAAAATACCTAGAATTAACAAAAAAGGCAAGTGGAAAATCAAAAATTGAATAACTCAAGTGGTTAAGTGAATCACTGCAATTAAGTAAGTAACATAGTTGCCCAAATTTAGGTGCCCAAACTTTGCTCATGTGAGTATGGGGATACTGCAATGATCGTAAGTGTAAAAAAAATAGGTTTTTTTATGATGCTGGTGGTAAGTATGTACAGTTCTCATAACAGAAAAAATCAGTAGTGAAAAGACTAGCTAATCTTATATCCTGTTAACTATTTAGAAGTAAGACATGAGCAAATAACATTATCCTACTTATCTAGACAAGCAACAAGGCATATATGATAATTATATATCTGATACTAGCAGGACCTGTATTACTAGTCATAGTCTTACATCTGAGTAATCTGAAACCAAGACATCTCCAGAAGAGCAAAGACATGTCAACATAGACCAAAATACTGTTGATAAGCCTGATTTAACAGATCCTTTCCACATAATTAGAGGGTGAGAGATCACCTACAAATGCTCCAGATGATTGCTTCTCAAAGGGAAATTGCAGGACAGTGGTTGATTTGCAAGTGCTAGGAGATAAGGAAAGGCATCAAGCTCTTAACTGCAGCAGAGTGTTTAAAGACATTGTTTTTGTCTGCCTCACTTTATATACACAATTGGAGTTACAATTATTTAAAAAGGGTTCTTTCAAGCAACAACTTATTGCTGTCAGTTTAATTTTAAGTAGAGAAACACATAGTTAAACAGACAGCAATAATTATTCGCTGATGCATTTTTTTGAAGAAGATCCTAAGGGAGAAGTAAAAATGAAATAGAGAATAATGTGGAAAAATTTACAGACAAACAGAAAGAAGACATTTAGTTCCAGCCGATTTAGAAACACTGAAAAATAAAACAATTGTGGATTAATACACAGAAAATACAATTAAAGTGGAAATACAAACTATAAACCCAGGGATGAAAAATAATCTGAATAAATACTTATTAATGGGTTTACAAAACAGGACTTGTAAATTTTTCAAGAAGTTTTTGACCTGGGAGGAAGAAAGTTTGAATGGATTTTCAAGCTTATGACAGCAACTTGTTGAACTAAAGACTATTAGAACCAATGCAAATACATAAATAAAAAGTTGACTTGATCAAGGGTAAATTAAAAAAATAGTAACATAAAATTATAGAAACTTTATAGAAAATCATGCTAAATATCAAGACAACACCACTAGCATGAGGAAGATTGGTATTTCCTGGTTCTCCAAGAATCTGCCAGAACCTGCTGAATTTCACCCCTGCCTGATAGCATATAATCAATATATTAATTCATAATTAGTTTCTCTGAATTAAAATGGCAATCTGATTCATCAGACCCTTTATCTAATGAACTAAAGTTGAGTATGAATAGAGAAATAGAAACTTACCCACAAAGGTTCGAGCAATGGCAAATAAAAACACATTGGTGGATATGCTAAGCACAAAATAACCTAATGAACTGAAGAGGATGCATACAAGTAGGCAATGGGGTCTTCCAACTAGATCGCTCCAAGATCCCTGGATAAGAAAACATAAATGTTTTGAGATCAGCATATCTGTTTATTAATCATGTAAGGATGGTATTCAAATTTAGATGTGGGTAGAAGATGCAATGAAATTAATAATAAACTCCTTATAATTAATTTAAATTCCTCTGACTTGTCTAATTCTGGATTTTACTAATTTATTTATTTATATTTTTACCCATATTTTCCCAATAACTTACATCTAAATATGTGATATCTATCATTTGTAAATTACTAATAGTATATTGTTCTTCACAAAGCTAAAGGCAAATTTCTTTTTCCCATCTCTTCTTTGGAACCTGTGGATTTTTCTTCATTTTACTCACCAAACATCAATCCTGTAGGGTAGACTGGGCTCTAAGAATGACTGATCCAAAATCAATAAATGAATTTTCTTGCCAGAGTTAGACCTGTACATGAGTTTGCCCATTTTACTCCAACATTTTAGCCATTTTGCCACACTGATTTTAGAGTGAGTGAGTGAGTGAGTGAGTAAATAAGTAAGTAAGTAAATAAATACCTTGTTGCTTAACAAAGTAAATTACAGGTAGGTCATAATTAGGGCAAAGTTTTATTTACTGCAATGTACAAATAGGTACAAGGACCCATTTAATGAAAAGTCAAAATTCTGTTACTGTGAAACTAGCACACACATGTGGTTGAGGCTATTTCTACTGCAGTTGCCATAGAGAATTGTATATGTAACTCCTTTTTTGCAGAATGGAGACAAATATGGAAAGATAAAAAAATAAGCTCATTTAGAGGAACTGCAGGAGATAGTAGATATACTTTAGATATGGGGTTAGCCTCTTCAACTCTTATACATTACAGATATAGAAGCAGCAGATATGGCTATGACTATAGAAATTAGATTGTGCTGTAGGGATGAACAATTTTTGTTATATAATCTTTGCATTGGAGTGAAGTATATGTGTACTTTTAAAAAGCTAATTATTGGCTTACAGAAAGGCTGAGGCAAAACAATGAGAAGCAGTAACTATTTGCAGTAATTACATATTATTATTTAATAGAAATAAAGTTTCCTTAAACTGACTCAATTTCTTATGATTCCATGGATAGATCTCTATAGTTTTCTTGACAATAGTATTTCACCAATACTATATAAATATCCATGATGCAGAGGATAATATTTTAGCTTTAAAATAGTGTTTGTATTTTATCTTTCTTATGTTGATTTGCAACCATAATAAAGATGATTGGATTGGATTTGAAGTTAAATATCTTTATAAAAGGTATTTTTGTGTCTTCTAGGTACCCGCTCTGGTATTCACAGTTGATCTCTTTCCAAGGACTAATAGCCATTGTTATTTGATGTTTTAAAACATACAAGCTTGGTCAAGTGCAGCTACTTGCAATATTGCCAGTGGAATAGCTTTAAAATCTTAGAAGTAAGATTACTTCAACCACATTTGGGATAATTTATCCAACAGCAGCACAATACACAAAGTTGGCTTGGATTTGCCTGTTTTTAAAGTGTCATGTTTTTTAAATCAATGCTTTCAGTTTCAAAACTATAAAATATATTTAAAGTAAAATAAAGCTATACAAATATTTTTAACAGAAAGGTCTGAGAGGCAAATCCAGTTTATTGCAGGGATAATTCAAAACAGGAATTTGTTTTAAACACAACATTCTCTTTACACCATCATCCTATTCCAAACCTTTGGAAAAAAAAAAACCAGTAGTTATTTATGAATTAAAAATATAAACCTACCACTAAAGTACTGGAAAAGAGTTGGAGTATTCCATATAAAGATCCTAGAAGAAAAAATAGTGAAATAAAAATATATAGATGATTATTCTGCAATAGATTTTCAGTAAGAAGAAAGCAAATTATTCTTGATATCACTGGCAATACTTTTGGTCAGATACATTTCTTAAAATCAATTTTTTTGAACAAACAAATGATTCAATAACTTTATGTGAAAGGAAGAATAAAGAAGTGGCATATATAACTCACGAGGAAAAAAAAGAATATGCACCAATATCCATTGCCATGTTTTTTTTAAATGGCAGAAAGCATGCCAAGTCATTGCTGCAGACTGATGCAGTCTACTATTGTGAAAGGTTTGATTTTATGAACTTTTATGGTTTTTAATGTAAAGATACTCGGTTTGTACTGTTTCTGCTGCAAAAAAGATATAATGTGACCACTAAAACTGGGAAAACCACTCTGTCTAGCAATTTGTGTTAAAGGATATTAAGCATTCAAATGTTTTAGTGTTTAAGAGCCTCCCAACAAAGTTGGTTGTCCAAGTGTCTTCCGAGTAAAAAGTAGAGTCTCCACATATTTTACTCCAGTAGCCATTGCCAACTCCTGGCAATAGGAGCCGTTGCTCACCTCGATTTCAAGGCCATTGAGCCAGCACTGCCCCAAAACATGACCAGCATGATGTCATGGAACAAAGAGTTATCCCTACAAAGAGTTATCTATTACAACTGAAAAGTCAGTTATAATAACTGTATATTTCACACATCAGTAGTCCTTGATAATTTTCAATCAAATGAGGAAACTCTGATTTTAATTTATGAAATAACAGAATGACAGTGTAGTCCAACCTCCTCATCAGGTGGGAAACCCTATACCATTTCAGACAAACGGTTGTCCAATCTCTTCTTAAAAACTTCCAGTGTTGGAGTATTCACAACTTCTGGGGGCAAGTTGTTCCACTGATTAATTGTTCTAACTGCCAGGAAATTTATCCTTAGTTCTAGTTGTTTCTCTCCTTGATAGGTTTCCATCCATTGTCCTATCCTCAGATGCTTTGGAGAATAGGTTGACTCCCTCTTCTTTGTGGCAACCCCTTAGATATTGGAAGACTGTTATCATGTCATCCCTAGTCCTTCTTTTCATTAAACTAGACAGACCCAATTCCAGCAACCATTCTTTATATGTTTTAGCCTTCATTCCCCTAATTATCTTTGTTGCTGTTCTCTGCACTCTTTTGAGATTCTCAACATCTTCTTTATATTGTGGCAACCAAAGCTGGATGCAATATTCCAAGGCATTAGAGATTGGTATTAACACTTCAGGTGATCTTGATTCTATCCCTCTGTTAGTGTAGTCCAGGATTGCATTGGTTATTTTGGCAGCTGCTGCACACTGCTGGCTCATATTTAAATGGTTGTCCACTAGGACTCCAAGATCCCTCTCACAGTTACTACTATTGAGCCAGGTACCACCTATACTGTACCTGTGCATTTTGTTTTTCTTGCATAAATGTAGAACCTTACTTTTTCACCAATGATTTTAATTTGGTGAAAAAAGTAAGGTTTTACATAGGTAACACTTGCTAAATTATATCCCATGTAACCTTTTGTTTTAAAGAAAAGTTTTCCTCAAGATTTTTGAGTTATTGTTGTAACCACAGGTAATTACATATCTTGTTATAAAATACAAGACAACAGTAAAATTACAACAATAAACATACTATGCCACCAAGAGCCTTATCCTGAAAAATGACTTGCTTCTAATCGCTATGAGAAATGGCCTGCTTACCTACCACTCCTGCAATTGTTGAACTCACTCCTAAAGATTTCACATGAAGGTTTAACAAGGGGACAATCATACTGACACCAAAGAAATCCTGAAAATAGACAATGATTTTTTTTTAAAAAAATTAAATGTAGAATATTAATATTTGCTAATAACAATCCATTGATAGGCATTTTAACTGTATTTTATCACTACTGTGTAACAATAATTCCTGAATAGAAAGACAAGGATTCGTCTTTTCTATAGTATTCTAAAGAAAGGAGTAATATTTGCCTATGATGCTTTTTTTTAAAATGTTTTTTCAAAAAATCAATTTCAGAAATATTTCCAGACTTAAATTTTCAATCTTGGTTGCTAAAGATTATTGGATTGTTGTATTGACTATAAAATTATAATGCCTTCATGATGAGCCTTTCTGAAAACTGCATACAATTAATCTTAACAAATCATAATCAGCACGTTATAATAGTTTGCATTACTACACATTATGCATTGTTACCTTCCTTAGCCATGCGGTGCATCTCCACTAGCATTATTCTACCCGAGTAGGTACAAGTAGAAAAGTTGTAACTAGTAACTGAAAACTAAACCATGTAAGAGGTTACAATGCAGATACTGAACTTTAAAAAATTAAAGGCACAATATAAAAATCAACCATAGATTTGAGGCATTTGCTACTGATCATTTGTAGAAGTCATCTAAGGCTAGAATTCTAGATTCATTATTCTCATTATCAAATAAAAGACACTGTAGAAGACAGTGACAGAGAAGATATTTTTCTGATTAAAATGCTCCAGAATGATGCTAGTTGAGTACAAACTAGTTTCATGTGGAATAAGGCAAAATAAATGATTGCAGCTCTCAAAAGTGTGAACCACATAGCAAGAACTATGATTCTCTGGTGATTACATGCACATTCCTTTCAATTTCCTATTGTTGATTTATTCCATATTCAATGCTGCCATAATTTTCAGACAGGCACATTTAGCCTTCAGTGTTTTAACCCACAATATATCATAAAATTAATCTGAGTGTAAGTTTTGTGTTGCCAACCCTTTTTTGACTCAGAGTAACATATATACTAGTAATCCTAAGCAGTTTTTTTTAATTGATAATTGAAAGCATGGTAGTATGACAGAGAAAAACTGTGAGGGGGGGGAGGGTTCAGTGTAGAAGAATGGAAAATGTATTAGAATACAATTTGGGGGTTTGGGGAAATTTTGGAAAGCAAAACGGGAATGTTAGATATTATTTTTGCCATGCATTCAGTTATGATTATTGAATCCTGGATCCGCAGCTGACTTTAGAACATCATCTGTCGGCTGTGACCAGGGGGACCTTTCCCAGGTTCGCCTGGTGCACCAATTGCGGCCCTATCTGGACCGGGAGGCCCTTCGGATAGTCACTCATGCCCT